CGACGCGGTAGTCGTATTCAGCAAGTTTGAGAGTACGCCAGCGTACTAGTCGCGATGTTGGATCTTTAACAGAATGTAGCCACTGTAATGGTTTACGGTCGGTTAATATTGTGAAATTATTTCCATATAGTTAAGGCCGGAAATGATTCGTGCAATATATTATGGCTAACGATTCTTTCTCTATCGTTGCGTAGTTTTGTTCAGCATTATTAGGTCCAAAAGAATAACGCACCTCGGGCACGGTATATAAAGGCCCTCGGTCAGGGCAAGAGTCAGTTCATCGGTACTCAGAGACTTGTACAAGCACGAAGTGCTACCCGAGCAAGTAAAGTTAGGATGAATGAGCAGAGGCTCTTCGCATAAGTAATTACGTAATTTTGTAAATGCTTCTTCTTGCGGCTCATGCCAATCGAATGATTTATCCTTCTTTATTAGAGATGTCAAGGGTTTGGCTATATGCGAGAAATTGTTAATAAAACGTCGGTAATACCCTGCTAGTCCGAGGAATTGTTTAATATTCTTTGCATTACGCGGTCGTGGATAATTTCTTACGGCCTCTAATTTCTTGGGGTCCGGTTTTACCCCTGCCTCACTAATTGCGTGCCCTAAATACGTAACTTCCTTCCTTAGGAATTCGCACTTATCCGGTTGCAGTTTGAGGTTAGCTTTCCTCAGTCTTTCAGCTAATTTGTTAAACTTCTGCGCATGTTCCGTCAAACTACTTGCATATATTACGATATCATCTAGATAGACAAAAAGCTCGATTCCTTGTAACCCTGTCAGAACCTTATCCATTAGCCTTTGGAATGTAGCGGGCGCGTTCTTCAAACCGAACGGCATGCGCTTATACTCGTAATGACCAAAAGGTGTTGAAAACGCGGTCTTTTGAGCATCTTCAGTTTCCATCGGTATTTGGTGGAAACCTGACGCTAGGTCGAAAACACTAAAATACTTCGCGCTACCTAACTGGTCTAGAATATCTGTGATGTTCGGTAAAGGGTACGCGTCTCCGAGAGTTTTCTCGTTTAGGGCCCTAAAGTCTATCACGAGCCTCCATCTCTTGTTACCCTTTGAATCGGCTTTCTTAGGAACTATCCAGAGGGACGAATTATACTGTGAATCTGATTCCGCTATTATTTTCTGTTCTAACATGTTTCCTACTTGTTGGTTTATCTCTTCCCTATGCACCGGGGGGAATCGGTATTGTTTAACGTGGATGGGCTGTCCATCCGTGGTATTGATTTTATGCTTGATAACGTTTGTGCAGCTCAATTCCTCCGTAGGAAGTTGAAAGAGGTCATTATGTTTTTCGAGAAGATTTTCTATATGACGAGTTTCCTCCACGTTGAGGTATTCTAACCTAAGCAATGATTTGACTTGATTTAGTCGCTCTCCCTTGTTAATTGATGAGATTAATTTAATTTCGGCTCTAGGCCCTAATTCTGGCGGTTTGTTTTCCGCGATTTCACTTATTTCGTGAAGATTAATTTGAGGAACTAGTAATTCTTTGTCCGTCTCGCTAGTGTTTATTACGCGTAAATACGCTTTTTCATCTCGATTGGTGACCACGGCGTCACCGAGGTATATATCGTCGTCGAGCCTAAGCTGCGGCACATATCCGATTTTTACTTTATTTAGTACCCTAAGGTAAAAATTGCTTTGCGAGCGAGCGGGAACAGTGATAGTTTCTCCCTCTGAGAAGGGAATTCGATTTCCTCTCCATTCGACGTGCTTTTCCAGAAGATTAATGCTAGTCGCGTCGCGTAAGAAGTCGGATCCTAGGATGCCTTCCTGCGCGATCGGGAAATCGTCTGGCACGATGTATAAGAAAACTGGGTGATTCATAATGCTTAATTCGATTGACCCTAAGGTCTCGATACGACCGCTGGTTATACCGTTAAGAAGCGTCTACAATGAGGTCGTAGGTATGTTCTAAAGTCGTAAAAGCGGTTGAAACTATTTGTTTGCGGTCGCAGAATAGTCGTAATGATAGCCGCTCGAGTCGGTATAATTAAACCAGTGTCTACAATGAAGTCGTAGTTATGTTTTTAAGTATGAAAAACGATCGTAACATTACTCTATTTTAGTCGCAGGACAGTCATAGTCGTAGTCGCTGGATTCGCACCAATTCCTATTCCAGCGACTACGGAGTAAAAAATGACCAATCAGAAAAAAGGGCGTGTATTTCGTAGAGATTCTATTTATGTATAATCTCTAGATATCTCTAGTATACGCATAACCAGAGGCACAACGAACGATGGAAAAATTGCACAAAGGAAAGTTTCGATATTCTTCAAGAATTTTGTGTTTTTAAAAATGGATTTCGACCAATCTAATTTTGAAATGGAAAACGAAGAAGAGATGGTTGAGGAATATTTAGACGAAATTGAAACACCCGTGTTGGAAGGCATTTATGGTATAGAAGATAAAATTCAAGATGACTTGGATTTGATTGCACTCGTTGAAGGCAATCCTAGACTTTATGCTAAAGGAAAAGCGGGTTATCGCAACGTGCATGAAAAGGATATGGCATGGATTTCTATAGGTAAAGTTTTAAAACATCCACTAAGTGGTAAGTGCTTATTATATATTTGTGTATACAAGTATTATATGTGATATCGTGTGTCACTGTGAACATATTCCACTGATTTTTCTATCAGGATCAGAAGCAAAGCACAGATGGGACACGCTACGAAATCTCTATGGTCGTGCAAGGCGAGAAATAGTGGCATTAACAAAACAACAAGGATTATCGGGTTCAGGAAAAGATAATGTGTCATACGAAGACTTGTTGACACCACAAAGCATGGCTATTCATCGTTTCATGGCTCCTCTGTACGTTCCACGAAAGTAAGTATTGATTTCATTCTTTTAGGCATTCATTTCGTTCACATGGTCCCCTTCATGTATTTAATTTGAAATTTTTACGATCCTATCTTTCAATTATTTTCATTTCATTCTGTTTATTTATTTTATTCATTAAATTATTTATTTCTTACTATATAATTGTCCCTTTATCAATTTAAGAAAATTATGTTATAGGACAGTCTCTAATTATACTAAATCCACATTATCTACATCATCCTCTTCTTCTAAAAGTAGACTTCCAATCAGGCCTCACTCCAGACCATCATTTATGGAACCATCACTAAATATTTCAAAATCAAAAGGATTGACATCTTCATTAAAGGATTCACCAGGAGACTCTCTTACTTGGAACCAAAATTTTGTTGCGAACATTTCTGATGGTTAGTGATGAAATCAATATTTTTTAGAGAATTTTCAACCTCTGATTATGAATGCTCCTAACATTCCGAAAAAAAATTTCAGATGATGTCAGTATTGATAGTCAATCAAGTGAGTACTCATTTAAAGTACCTGCATCAGATATAAAAAATAGAAAGAAGACAAATATTGAGACAGAGTCTGTGATTAAAGAATCATCACAAGCTATTACTGCAATTTGCTCAACATTGTTGAGCAATACTTCCAAGAAAGTAACTTCTAAGGAAGATACAGAAGAAGATAAAAGTATTACGGTAATCTTGTCACAAGAGTTAAAACGTGTGCCTGTACAACAAAGAACAAGATGTTTGATAAAACTATTAGAGGTATTCGAATCATTTCGAGATGAATGACTATGAATACTATTAATTTTAATTTTGATATTTGTTTAATATTGTAATATTTTTATTTTAAACTTGTGATATGTTTTTAAACATTCTGAGAATCAGAAAAACAGAATTATTTTTAAGAAATATTTAAAATTCATATGATACAATGTTTTTAATTATTATTATTTAGCTGGTAAGTCGTTAAAAGCATGTATAACCATATAGTATTATATATCTACAAATGCCTTAAAAACTAAAACGATACAAAAAAAAAAGTAATATAAGAACTACGAAAGTATTCAGAATTCGTAAATTCGAAAATTAAAGGACAGAAAAGATAAATTACGATAAATTGATCAACAAAAGGAAAAGAAAAGAAAGGTCGTTATTTTTGTATGTATCTCAAAGATAAGCTACTGCATTTTTTTATGTTCTGATCACTTCTCCTTTTCATACGAAATTATCTTCTTTATTTTAAGATTAGGTTTTTTTCTCGCGGTAATAATAGCATAAGTAATAATAGCAGTATGATAATAGCACAAGTCCGTAAACTGCACTAGCTTAGAATATAAATGGTGCTAGGAAGATATTCTTCTGCAGATACAGTATTTGATATCTGAGACTGTAAGGTAAAAAGTCTGATTTTATAATATTAAATCTGTAAGTTGAAGAATGATTCTATTTTGTGTAATAATATTATATAATAAAGGCTGTGTTACTGTATAGAAAAAAATTCAAGAGTGAATAAATTCATATTTTATACATTATGTTATGTTTAATCAGGTTTGTTAATCACAATCGCTCATTTTAATATAATCCTTTTATATACAAGTTTATATACATTTTACGAAGAATATACATATGCGTATAAGAATATATATGTATAAAAAGATTGTATTAAGCTGGTTCTACATTAGTCGCAAGGTGATCGCAAGCTTGTTGTGACAGACAATCTGAAGAATTAATTTTAAAACAGATTGGCTGTCGCAACAAGCTTGCGATCGCCTTGCGACTAATGTAGAACCGGCTTTATATGTCTTATAAAGGGGTATTAATATTGTAACCTCTTAATGCGCAATCAAATTGCCAGTCAACTGCACCAATGTTTGTCATGAAATATTTTCGCAGTGTGTCGCGCTGAACACTTGTAATGTAAGCAGCTCGGTTCGAGCTTACTGAACGAATATGCACAAAATGAGATCCTAATTTTTCATTGCGCCATTGCCCTGGAATAACCGTGCCATTATTTTCCTGGTCCACAAAATATGATGGACAATACTTGTGTTCATAAGAAGACATGATATAATTATGCAAAACAACAACAGCGAGCACAATTTTATGAGCATTTTCTTCCTTGCATTGAATTGAGTTCCTTAAAATTCTCCAGCGAGAGACAAGAATTCCAAAACTATTTTCAATTGTTCGCCTTGCTCTGGACAAGCGATAATTAAAAATTCGCTGTGAATCACTGGTCAGTGATCTTCTTGGATATGGCCTCATAAGATATCGTTTGAGAGGAAATGCTTCGTCTCCTACTAAAGCACAGGGCAGCATAATTGTTGTACCAGGCAATTGTTGTGGAGGAGGAATATCTGCTGTATTACATTCTAAACTTTGACCAAGTTTACTGTTCGCCCATACGCCACCATCACTGTTAGATCCTGTAAAAGACACAATTCCAATTGTTATATTCAATACATAAGAAGCACCTGAGACAGATCATGAAGAATTCTTTAATATGACATGAATGACATGCTTAAGATTCATACTATGAATACAAATTACCATAGTCACCGACATCAATCCAGATAAATTTATAATTAGCATCACAAATTGCCATCAATATGAAACTAAAATATCCCTTGTAGTTATGATTTAAAGAATTACTGTTTGGTGGAGCTTGAATAGTAATGTGCTTTCCGTCTAGTGCACCTATACAATTTGGAAAGTTCCACTTGTTCCAAAATCCATCAATTACCTTTTCCCACGTTTCTCGCGAAGGTTTTGGTAAATATTGTGCATTAAGAGCTTGCCAGATTGCATCACAAGTCTCATATACAATTTTGTATATAGTTGATTTGCCAATTCGGAAGTCCCATGATTTTGATCTGGCACTGTCACCATGAGCAAGGAATCTGAAACAACAATAAAAGTACTATTATCAACAAATATTTAATAATGTAAGGTAAATTATATAACTCAAAAGGCATATAATAACATTTCGTTTACTTACAAGAGAGTCACAGCTACTCGTTCATTTACTGAGATAGGTTTCCGTATACTTTTCTTCCTGAGAAAAGGCCTGACAAGATGACATAAATGATCATATTGTACAGGTGTCATTCTTGTCATATTAAAGAATTCTTCATGATCTGTCTCATATGCTTCTTTGAATTGATTATTGAAGTATCCTAAATCATTTCTGGTTCTATTTATAGGTCTTATCCACCATCTCCTTCTATTACAGCGTCTTTTTAGATATAAATATATCGAGGTCAAATGCAAATATGCACTCGATAACAATAAAATGTTACGAACACGCAAATCCATTGCACAACATTCGTAAACACATAGGCGATCATTCACTATTCCCGCACGTTTTCTTCTTTATGTGGCCTGGCGCTCTCCTGAGCGAAATTTGGCCATTGATTGATGCACGGAAGTGATTAGGTTAAAAATCACCCTATATTACAACATATAAGCGACTTGCGACCGTCGCGACCGGTGCGACTGAAGTATCGTGTAGTCGGGCATCGTGACACGACTCAATTGACAACTCTGCGCTTTTAAGACTGCGACTTTACTTAACGTCGCAGCGATCACATTGTAGACGAGCCATTAAGGTACAGTGGTGTATCGTCGCGTATGAAGATTTCAGACGATAAATTTTGCTTTTTTATAACGTTGGGAGCAGCTCCAGTGTCTATCATGAAATTTACTTCTCGATTAAGTCCTGCCGCACTTAACATGATCGTAGGCGCGTATGGGAATTTTATAGGATTTAAGACTGAGATTCGGGCTCCATAGGGCACTCTATCTCCTTTTCCTCCGTTTCTACTATCCTTATGGGTCTCGTGTTCTTCTTTTCGTCCGTCGGGTTCTGGCTGCGGTGTCCCGACGGACCCGACAGGTTTCCCGACCTTTCATGCTGGGGATTGTTGTATTGCCTTTTGCGGCATTCATCTATGGTGTGACCGAAATTTTTGCAATATTTGCACATGGGTTGTTCCGCGCGATCGTTGATTCGCCTATCATTGCTTCTATTAAATTCATTTCGTGTGTTGTCCCGATTTCGGTCGAAGCGTTTTGCATAATTATTTGTCCGGGGTACGTCACGTCGCGATTCGTAGCGCGGTGGATAGTAATTTCTTGGTGTGCTTTGCGGTAATTCGCGATTTCGGACGTCATAACGGTAATCTCGTCTCCCTGGCATTTCTCTCGGATAATTATATCCGACAAGATGATTGGCCTTGTGTGGCGTTGAATGAGCTAGTGGTTTCCCTATGGGGTTTAACGGTCGTGTTTCCCTTTCTCTGTCATACCGAGGACGCGTTTCTAATCTTTGTCTATCTAATTCCTGTCTTTTTGCAATCGCTTTGGCCGCGGCGAACATGTCGGTGTGTCGCGGGTGTGTTAATGGACTTACTTGTAGGCGGTAATCTAAGGGTAACCCTTCGTAGAAAGACCTTGTTGTCAAGTTATCTATACGAAATGATTGTCTAACTCTCCATGTTCGCGCCTCTCAGCATCTAGGATAGCGGTTCTCAAATCTTTTACACGGCTGATATAATCTAAAATATGTTCCCCTGGTTTGAGGTAGATTATGCTTAATTCCCCTCGATATTGGTCTAGAGTCTTGGCTGTGCCAAAAGCGTCAGTCAGTAAGTCTATTAAGTCTGTTACTGAATTGCATGGTTCGTCTTCTACGGCATAGTAGGCACG